CGCTGCTCCAGAAGAAAGCCTGCCGAAGCCAGACTGAGCGACACACAGCCGACTGGCTTCAAAACGGATTTACTGCATCAAATTCTTTTTTTTCTCCAACCCACTCACGCAACATCGATTTCTCTCCATAGTCCTTCTCCCATCCTGCCTATCTTTGCATCCAGGCTTCTTTAGTTCCTGACTTTTATTTCTTTGCACCACCTTTCACTTCAGGTCGCTGTCACTTTATGTTTCTCTCTGTGACATCAGACACCTGCTTCGCCCTGGTTAACTCCTGCAGGCTCAGAGCATTGTGGGGAAAGCTTTGGAGGCTCAGCTTCTCCCCGGGGTTTCTCCACTTTCTCTTTTCATCCCACTCTCTATATTTTTAATTCTTTCTCTCTTTTTGATCATCCTGTTGTCCTTCAACTCTTCTTTTAGTCTCTTCTTTCTTCTTCTACCTTCATCCTTCATCCTCTTGCTTTCCTTTTCCCCTCCTGCGTCGGTCACTCTACCTTCCTCTCCCTCGCTATGCTCCATTTTTCGACGCCCCTCTTTGCCCTACATTTTTGTCTCTTTCTTCGCTGATGCCTGTTTCTCTTTTCGTCTTTCTCTCATCCGTCTTCCCGTCTCCTTTTGACAATATTGTGGATTCTCAGAACAAAACTATGTTTCTTGGGGAGGGATACTTTGATGTAATTATACAGTTTTACTTTGCCAGCAAGCGATGTTGGTGTTCTTTTGTAACCTGGATCAGCATGTGACTCAAGATTTATGGCTGCAGGAAGCCGTCTTCTTTGAATTTCACATAAAGGATTGATTAATTGGATCAGCAGCTCCAAACCGAAGAGCAGAATTTGATATTTTGTGAGGATTTATTGGACAGCAGGATGGCCTAATTGGTAGAAAAATAATCCCCCAGCCACAGAAGCCAGGCTTGAATGTCTGTTTTGGGAAGCTTCCACCCTGCTGAAGTGTCCTCGAGCAACTTACTGAACCCTCTCCACCCACACGGGCTCTCGCCTGCCTTACAGGGATCATTGCATATCGCATTGCACAATGGTCACGGACTGTTTTTTTGGGGGGGTTAAAGGTCATGACATGAATTGGACGGATTGCTTACTAAGACCTGGACCACGAGCCGCTTCCTCAAGTCCTGAAGTAATGCGTGTTTCAGCAAGCTTTAAGAGAGAGTGACTGGCAGTCTTGTGATCAGTAGCGTGGATTACTGTTCCAGATACTGAACTTTCAGTTTTCATCATCTCTCGGTTGTTTTAGCGTTTGTTTCTTTTGTTGCAGAAGAAGGTCTGACCTCCAGATCGGGTGCTGAGTCAGACTTTTGTGTGTTGTAGTGGCTGTTGGAGCATTAATGTAACGGACTGGTATATTCTCCCTGTGGGGATACTTGCTGTGTCATCAGATTTTTACAGCACAAAGGATATTTGACATCCTCTGTTTCCTCTCGCGGGGCTCTTTTCTTTTCTGGAGTTACCTACAGCCCTGGGACACTGGCTTTGATTGATTTTCTTCTTCTTCTATTGAGTCTTGTGAGGTGGCTAAAAGTTGAGCAGTGGGTATTATCACCCCTATAACAAATGACGGCCCAGTTACTAGCACAGCAGCTCTCAATTTCTAACGTTTTTGTGGACATTTTAGGATAGCCCTCTTAGAGTTTCCTTGGCTTATTCAAGTTTATATACCAGTTTTTTTTTATAGTTGTGTAAAGCCAGGTTAGGATCCGGTCCTGGTCCTATAGGCTCTATGCTGTTTTCGGGGCCCAGCAGGTTTGTCTGGGCCCTGTGGCCAGACTTTGTACCGGCCCCCCTACAAAACAAATGGAGAACAGCGGCTGCATCCCTCTTTGCTGGAGCAAGGGGGCCTGCATCTACGCACAGCACCCCCTACCAAGTAGGTCCTAATGAGTGTAGTAATCAACACACCATGTTGTACTGACAAATAAACCCTGTAGTTTGATATGTTCTTGAGAATTTGACTAAATCCTTCTGATTCACAGCTACATAGTATTGGATCCATACAATTGTTCATCAAATGTAGTATAATGTAGTATATTCCTTTAGATGGTGCACCTTGGTATCATTATTTACAATGAAATAGAAAAGTACTCGTCATGAACTACCATGCATTACCTTGTTTTCCTTTTCTCACTCTGCGTTTGAAGCATCTTCTCATTCTGTTAAACATCCAGTTGTTCATCAGCCTGGTTGGTTTTCACTTAGCTGAGCTTTGTTTTCTGCTTCATGAAGTCTGAATGACAACGATTTGTGTATTTCATCACCCTGGGATTTACATTTACGACAGATGAGGTCCAGTTGGGGTCAAAACTAAAAACTCATAACCAGCTTTGACTTAATGAACTCCTTGGTACCGCTGGATAATGAAACAAAGGCACAGTGAAGTGCTGCATGACCAGCTGTCAGTTAGCGATGCTAAATGACAGTTCAACCAAAACTGTCCAATGAATGAGTTACGTGTTAGTCTTTAAAGCTTCATTTGAACAGCTACTGAACTGAATTGTTACAATTAATCTGTTTTTGCTTCCTCCTGTTTGAAAAACCAAGTGAACTACGGTTTCTTATCAGTTATTTTGCCCGACTTACAGTTGTACCGAGCTGTAATTAGGTCCGTGAATATGAGTGTGTGGGGAGATGGTGGTTATGAGTTACCCCGGTAAAAATACACACACACACACTCTCTTAGTGCTGGTCCTTTGTTTTTTGTCGGGTCACCATGTAAAAGCATTGTATTTATATGGAAGTGACATTTAGACCCATAGATAGATATCTATGTTTAGATCAGAGTTTAAAATATATTCATGCATATAGATGTACAACCAATGTTTAGACTTTTTCCGTCTTTGTCCCCTTGTATAGATAATGGGCATCCTTGGCAGAGGAGAGGGTGTAGGGGAAGGGGGAGGGCAGAGGAAATAGTTTGAGCATGAGAGAAAGATGAGAGGGAGGAAGGAAGAGAGGTGGTTCAATAGGGCAGAGGATCAAATGGAGATGTGAAGGCAGGAACTAAAAAATCTGTGAGCATGTGAGATGAGCGACTGGAGGAGATTAAGAGAGTGGGAAAAGAGTTGCAGATGAAGGATGGAGAAGGATACAGGGAGTTTGGCATGTGTGGCGGGGCAAAAGAAAGGAAACGATGAAGGCTTTGGAAAGAATAAAGACGTAAAGACGGGGATAAATATGAAGAACGAGGGAGAGAGAGGGATGGTGAAAAAAAAAAAAGACAGAGAGGCCTCGGCTCCCCCAGGATTGTGCTAACCCCAGTAACCCAGATAGCACTTAGACGAGGAGATAAACCGTCCTTCAGCTGCTGCTGCTACGGGACAGGTCAACCTTCTGTGGTTTTACAGGCTGACTGTCAGTCACTGGAGCCCCACTGAGAGAGGGGGTGGTGGGCCTGGCAGCCGCCTGCCCCCCCCTCCTGGCTGCCTGCATGGCCTAGTTGATTTGATTCCTCTTCTTTTCTCTATCTGAATGTGTGAGGGCATGCATGTTGGGATTTAGTATAGTTCTGTTGAGTAGAAATTGGTGCAGTGAGACATAGCTTCATTCATCCTGTGCTACCCTTTTTAAAGCCTTAATTTATGTATTATGAGGTCCGTATTTTGTAGTTCCCCAAAACTGATGTTTACAAGCTAAAGAATCCGGTAACTAAAGGACAGCCTTCTATAATATACAGACTTTTATGGTCTACAGTATGTATGTTAATTGATTATTTTGATGGCATAATGCTCTGCTGTGTAGCAGCCAACTTGCTGGATAATATGAGAGTTTGAAAAGCATCTGATGGAAACATTTGTTCTGCACCACAAACTGATGCTGAGGCTTTATGTCCACCATGACATCTGCAATCTCAAATATGTGGTGGACAAACAGACGATAACTTTTTCCAGTTCTTTGTCAGAGGCAATTAAGCAAAACATCAAACTGAATACATACTTGCAGGTATTTTCTTCAGCCTGACCTCTAGTACTTTACATGTATTCAGTCACATACTGGTTTGTAGCTTCAGTGTTAAAGGGCCACCGTCTATTAACAAAAACCTCTTTTGATAAATGCTGCTGAAAAGGAAGGTAAACATAGTACATGTTATGGTTATGTTCGCTTCACCAGTAGCATAAAGTAGTTGTATGCATACACCAAGGCAGCTATAGGTTGCCTGCTTTTCTAATAGGATTTCATCAAGCTGTATGTAGTAATTAGGTTCAGCTCATGTGTGTGTGATTTTGTGTCACTGTTGTGTTTTGTCTCAGTGTATGCACCGGGGTGTTACCACAATTTAGTGCTTGATATCTAATCTGGTTACTGACTGACCGAGTGAGCAGCAGCAGATGGCTGACTGTGGTTTGTGACTGTATCCCTCCTCTGGTGGCTAACGGACTAGAAGTTATGCCAACTGAAGGTTTGTTGTATATCTATCACAGCTTGTGTACATTATGGACATGGTTCTGATAGCATACATTTATATTGTTCCACCATCTACCTTCAATAGTAAGGAAACACAAGTGTACTGAATTTTAAAGAATATTTTTTTGTGTCAACATCATTTTTAGTAGATGTGGTTTAAGTTTTCAGTTGCACTATGTGCAAAAAAACACACAACCTGGCATCTGCTCTCACACAATACACTGAAATGACAGTAAAGCAATAACTTGATGATATATCAACAACAGAACATGGTTAGTTCAAACCTCCTTCCCTTTCAAATACAGTCTGTCTTCACTAAGCTTCTTCAAAATCTATAATACAATATGAGGTGTAGTTCACAAAGCTTTGTAATTTGAAGCATTCCCAAGAACTACACAGAGCTAATCTGTCTCTGCCTGCTCGGAAGCTTAAAATCTCTGCAGCCGTAGAAGTAACAGAGGACTATGAATTATCTCCACTGCACAACCCCACTAGACGTATCTTTTTATCAGGTAAACGGGGTCTGTAGTTATTACCAAGTCCGTTAGTATTGTTACAATGATATTATACAGTGGTGTATTTGGATAATAGCAGCAGTGCACTCTTTAGGGATTGTAACAAACCACCTAATAATCCAGTAGTATCATAGCCACAGTGATATCGTTCTAATTGGATGATGATAGTAATACTGTAAGAGGGACATTTGTAATCTGATCTTCTTTAATCTGTTGTATTAACGTCTTGAGGGTCTGTTGAGCACGGAGCCATGCTTGTGGCCCTTATACACTTATTACCGACAGGGTGAGCTCACTTTTAATAAACGTACACACAAATGCACACAGTGGACTTCTTCATCTGTCAACTTTCACTCTTGTCCTTTCTCTTTTCAGAATACACTTTGACATTTTAGCTAATAACCAACAATTGTCACACTGCTGTTTGTTAAACTGCAGAGACTTAGAAAGAAAAACTAAGTAAAGTAACATAACCTAGTACCGTATAATGCAGTATAACCTAGGCAGCGTCTTCACTTCTTTTATTCTATCGCAAGGACTTCTTGTCCTCAGTCACTGGAACGTGTGGTAATGGCATTGAAAACATAGCTTTCTATGAAAGATTAAATACTTGGATGGATCAAACTTTTTCTTGGGAAGTGAATATTTCCAATTTGTTTTTTACAGGTGCTTTAAAAAAGACAATTTCAGCCTCTTTATATACAAAAGAAAAAACACGTCAATGTTTCAATCCAGCAAGGATCTTGCTTAAGATCTAAAAACCAATTCAGACGTGTACATGAACAGTTTATCACTTGAAAATGAAGAAGAATTGCGAAAAACGGATGATTGAGTCTTAAGACACCTAAACAACAACATAAGGTTGATAATACCAGAAAAGTTTAATAATATGAAGAAAATGAGGGAAAGGTTTTTCATGTAAGTAAAGACTCCAAAAAAGGGAAATGAGTGCAAAGCCTCTCCATAGACACAGGATGTAATCATGTGTACTGGTGCACGTACACACTCACACTATTGATACAGCAGATTCTTACAAGAGAGTGCTGAGTCAAATTCTTAGATGCATAATGTCCTCCTTTACACTTCTGATGCAGTCATTGTGCGCGCACACACACACACACACACACACGGGCATGTATTTCAGCATGTGTCTTTGAAGAGGGAACTGTAGGTCAAGCTGTCAAAGTGCTGAACCAACTTTCCCCGGATCAGTCGGCATATTTCTGTCTCTGTGTCTTTCTCAACATGAAGTGATCTGACCGTGACCTGAACACAACATGGAAAAAGTGCTGAATGTAGTGATGTGATGTTAACAGTAGTGATTTTTGTGTCTCGCTACAGGCTGTTAAGAACAGCAGTGAAACAACCAGGGTCGACAGTAACAGAAAACAGTCAGTTGAATTTATTGTCTCCATATTCAGTGGATTCAATAAGTCATCGCATGTAAATCTTTCAACCCTGAACAACACGGTAGACGATGAAGCAGATCACAATTTTAGTTGTAGATTACGTTCCCAATACTGGGAAGTGAGCCACGAAATTAGTCAGCCAATCAGATTCGGTTTACTTTTGCCACCGTAAGATAGCCACAGATAGAGTTCACAGCCAGCTGGAACCAGCCGCTGTTGTGATGATGACTCGACAAAGCCTGCAGGGATATCCAGGAAGTGACAGGATGACACAGGAAGCAGCAGAGTTTGTGTCGCGCACAAGGACGTGTGAAGATGAACCTATCGTAGAAACAACCTTTTAAAGAGGGTGAATACCATACAGTCTATGGTAAATACCATACAGTCTATGGTAAATATGCGAAAGAGAGAGTCTGAGACAAATAATATTCTGCTGTAGTCTCATACTGTGGTAAAGAATACATGTGAAGCAGGCTATTGTTTAGTTGCAATTTAATAATACGTTAAATTTTTTACTCCTTTTCCTAATTAGACATCTTGTGATTCTGTGTGTTTATCTGTAAACTCATCATGAAGGATATGTCAGTGAGACTTCATCCTGCTGTTAGGCTGCAGCCCACCTACAGCCACTACTATTCAGGCTGCTGCCCGACTACAGCCATTCAACCAGTACGTCCAGAACAATTTACTAATTTACCAGAGCAGACCGTAGCGTGTCAAGACACAATTTGGAAACCACCAGATTGTAAACTGCAGCCTAGCAGCCATGCAACTGGTTGAGAACAGTAGAACTCTGCCTCACAGAGACGTATGGCGTGGACATGTTGGCCAGTTCCACTCCACGCTGCAGGTAGGACTGAAGGACCAGTCGACTGACTGGTTTTGCAGTGGCTTACTGTTAAGCTTAAAGCTTGACGAGATTCAAAGTGTGGTTGATTTAGCAGTAGTCTGTCCAGTTTGACCACAGTGTTTCCCACTGGGAATCTATTTATATAAGCTGATTTATGTTGAGCTTTGAGCCCATTAGGTCCTTCTAAAAATACATTGTGTCAGTGATTTGCCGGTTTATATTGACTAGTAGCCTTACTGAAGCTCTCTTGGTTTCTACAGTTATTTTTTTGTCTCAACGTTGCCGTGTGAGAGTGGATTTGCATGAGTTCTCTTTTATGTCTTTATGATTATTAATGTAGCCTGTTTTGTGTCACGACATATGTACAGAGTGCCGTATGAACGGCAGACTGGTGGTGACTGAAGGGTTGTTTGAGTGGGTGTTTTACCGTGTCAGCTATTCTTGTAGTGGTGTTCTTCAAAGGGTTGATAAAGTAATTCTCTTTACATACCCTAATCACCTTCCTTTTTTTTTTTTTTCAACCCGTTGATTTATATTCTTCTCGACTGTGTGATGCTCCTTTCACATCATTGAACATATTTCCAAAGAAGATAAAAAATATGTTGAAAAATACGATTTTGACCCTCTGTCCTTCTCTCTTTTCCAGAATATGACGGCCAGTTAGCCCCCGCAGGAGGATCTGAATCAGGCATGGCGTCGTCTTCCTACTTGGAACCCAACCTCAATCACTCCGCGGCGGGTGGTTGTGGGGTTAAATCCCGGTCTGGGATTTCTGGTGGTACCGGTGTTGGTACCAGTGGCTCTGCTGGAGGCCTTGAGCGGCCCTCGGGCTCCATGGACCGGGTTCTGAAGATCTTCCATTATTTTGAGACGAACAGCGAGCCATGCACCTGGGCTAGTAACATCAGGCATGGAGATGCTACAGACGTCAGGGTGAGACACACAAACAATTCTTACCTCTCTAGCCCTTCTTAGTCAGCATTTCCCTGATTATCACTTTTTAATTTTTTGTTCATACTTCCTCTCATTTCAACAGGGTGTTATCCAGAAGATAGCAGAGATCCACAAATTGCGCTGTGTGTCCTCTCTGGGCCTCCGTCTGACCCATCTGCACTCTGATGCACTCCATTGGTTACACCCCGATTTGGGCGTGTGTCACGTCAGAGAGAAATATGAGAAACAGCACCCCCAAGAGGAGTGGAGGTAAGGTTACAACAAGACTCTGCCTGCTTCCTCTCCCCATGTCTTTCCATGTTGACTTTCTCCGTAAGGGTTACTAGATCTAGCTGCGGATTCTAGTTAATCGAGTGGGCAACCTTATCCTTAATGCTGTGCTGAAATCAAACATCAGGCCAAGAAACATTACATTACTTTATTCTCTCAAGAGGCGGACAAGAGAAGGATTATACCATCAACATGGCAACTTTACAAATGCCCTATTAGGCTGTGCAGGAGCTACACTTGTTTAAGCTACAAATATGCAAAACGAGTATTTTAATAAACCTAATAAACAAGCTACAGCTATATAACATATGGTCCCAATGAAACCATTTTATACTCCCAGTAAACCTGAAACATACTAATGTGAATAACTGTGCACGGCCAGTAAAAAAATATTGCAACCAATAATTTAATATTGCTCCCTTTTGCCAAGGTCCCTGTGTTGATTTTCGAAAATCCTCATAAAATGTGTTTTCTCGTTCATCCTTGGTGGATGACGTTTACCTAAATTCAATCGGTCAAGGTGACTTCATTGCACAGATTTGTGACTTGAATGCAATGAGTAGTGTGTATTTGCTGCGTATTATTAAACTACAATCTGTAGAGCTTTATTCTTCCCATTCATTTGAGGCAGTAGCCTCATACAGGGGATGATCTTCTCCGTTTGACGAAGGGGAACGAGCTGCTCGTTATTTGAAAGCAGCTCTGTCTGTTTTCGACCTACGCTGAAACTGTGCTGGCGCTTGGCATGTTCAGTGGATATTGTTAACAGCTCTTCTTACAATTCAGTCCTTTGTCCTACAGTCGACGTGTTACACCGAAAATCATTAAAATTTAAATGAGGTAAAAAAAAAAAATGAACAAGTTGTTGACATCTCTAACATGCAGCTGAGCGGCTCTGCCAGTTGTTGCAGCTTTGCCTCGGTGGGGCGGCAGAACTGCAAGCCCACAGGAGCTTCTGCTGCTGTCGAGCTATTGTTAGAACAGCAGAAGTCGCCGAGGGGATGGACTGACTCTCTCTCTCGCTCCTCTCGCGCTCCCTCACATGTTTCTCTTCGGTCTCGTGCGCTGCTCGCAGTCCTTCTTTTTTCACTTTGATCCTTCTCTCTCTCATCTCTCACATCTGTGCTTCCTATCTTACCACAGCTCTCTCTTCTCTCTCAAACACGCATCATCTCTCTTCTCACAATCTCTTTTCGGTTCATTCATTATAGAACGAGGATGTTTTATTTATTTTGTCTTTTGGCCTTGATTTCCTTTGTTATTTAACTTCAGGCCTGTGGCATCACAGCAGCTTGGAGCTCACTACTCTCTTCACTGTAGTCGCTGCAATATGTCAGTCATAAAATGATATGTCGCTGTAAACGATAATGGCCCATTCGGGTACTTCTGTGGCACAGTTCAACTGGCAAGTGTAACAGCAGGAATCTCATAATGCTTTTATGGTATTACAAGGTTATCACTTTCAGTTAGTTCACTGCCAGAACAACATGAAACTGCGTCTTACTGCGCCACCAGACAGTAATATAGTGAGTAGAAAGAGCATCTTTCAACTTCAGCACTTAGTTTCAAGCCCCTGTGTGGGCAAACGGCCACTCCGCTGCAGTGATTTTGAGCAAGACATAAAATCTATTGCTCCATGGGCACTATTAAGTAGCTAACATGCAATTTAAACCACTTGTGAAGGAAGAGCAAGAGGAATGAAGAAAATAGAGCAGGAAACGAGCACAAAAAACTTGTCCAGGCCCTCAATGTGTGCATAGACCAGAACTAGTTTCTAGCTCCTTACAGCCAAATTGTATGTAGCATAGCTGTAACAAAAAGACGAAAACTTCTTGAACTTCTTCTTTGTAAAAAGTATGTTGATGATGTGCAACATATATCTACAGTTGTTATACTGTTTATTATCTATAAAACAGAAGTGGGATTTTTGTGATCATGTCATGGATTCAGTGGTATACGCTCAGGTATACGCCCAGGTTTAAAATGTATTGAGGTCTGTGTATGCGTCAGCTGTATGTATGAGTAAGCATGCTCCTCCTGTCTTCATACAGGCATTGAATTCTGATGCTGCAGGTTATTTTATTCTCTGTGTGGGTGTGTGTGTGTGCTGACAGTATGGGTATTTAGCCAAATTGTCTCTGTCATTCTCAGGTATGAGTTGCGGATGCGATACCTTCCTAAAGGTTACCTCAGCCATTTCTCTGAGGACAAACCCTCTCTTAACTACCTCTATCACCAGGTGAGGCAACATGGCAGGGTCACATGAAATAAGAGGACACAGAAAAGTGTAATAATACCAACAAAAAACATAATCTGGTTTTAAAGGGTATCTATAATGTTCTTGAACCAGTTCTTCTGTCATACAAGATCTGCTCTGTCCCTTGCTCCCTATCGCTTTTTCGTCTAAACACGCAGACATACCTTGAAACAGATGCTTAACTGATACAATGCATTGTTCTTACATGGGACTGCAGTTTAACTTTACCTTTTATAGCAGTGTTGTTATAAAACATTGGGCCTCATTCACTGATATCTTGCTATGTATTTTCTGATATTTGTTAAGAGTAAAAAAAAAAGTCTGCATCAGATTCGTGACGTGTTCTTAAACCGCAGAATTGTTCGCACCTTAGAATGACGAATCCCATTGTCAGCGTAAATTGCTGGCTCCCAACTATTGTAAGGCTCCATGAGGACGGCTCTCGGTAGCCTAAAGCGTCCCAAGAGGTACTCGTCGCTCTCTGTAAATAGATCTACATTGTCTTGGAAGATGCGTTCGCTCCTCGGGGCACGATCTGCATCATCTTGCAGCAGCAGTAAAAATGCCGTTGTGAGAGTCGGCCTAGGATGCAGAAATAGGCCGAGTTTAGACCTATAAATAGCATGATCATTCACTAATTATTGGATGGGATGTCTCCCAATAAAATGATAACAAACAACTAATTCATTAATTAAAATAATTATCAAAAAATATTATGAATTTAAAAAATAGTATCGTAATTCAAAGTCTATAATAGAACAGGATTGTAGGACTGTAGAATTGAAGAAAGCGCTATCACTAATTATTATGTCAGCACTCAAATGTGTAGATTCCGTTCTTGCCGAAGAACAAATCCCAAATAAGAAAACATTGGTGAATGTCAGAATCTGTGTGAAAACTGCGTATCGTGAGTGGGTTTTAAAGGAGAAACTTCTTCTGAAGAACGGTTGGTGAATGAGGCCCATTGTTCTGTTGTTCCTACAGGTAAAGAGTGACTACATGCAACATCTAGCTGATCAGGTGGATCAAGAAGTTGCTCTGAAACTGGGCTGTTTGGAAATTAGGTGAGAAAACCACACATTTGTTCTTATGCCACGAGTGTGACAAAAATTAACAAAATAATCCTGTTTACTCAAACGGGTATCTTGACTGTTAGTCTCTGCTCATCAGAGACGATTTCCTGAATATGTGTCTGATTTAATATTGTTTTGCCTTTCTCTGTGAATTTTATAGGAGGTTCTTCAGAGAGATGCCAGGCAACGCCCTGGATAAGAAATCCAATTATGAACTATTAGAGTAAGATTGATTTGATCTTGTTCGCTCCGTAAACCTCATTGCTTCAAATTTAGATTCTGAGATTGCAGATTTGAGCTATTCAAAGACTTTCATTCTGGTATGTTTAGGAAAGACGTTGGTTTGAGGAGGTTCTTCCCCAAAAGCCTGCTGGACTCCCTCAAGGTGAGGCTAAACTACTGTTAATGTAGTAAGAGAGTCAGTGACGTTCATCTCTCATTTAAGTTCCATTGCCAGATGACAGAAGTGTCAGTGGTGGAAATTCCTTTGGGAATCCTTGGCCCACTTAGTCGGCTGGATGAGCTAATGGCTATTTGACTGAGTAGCCGGCTGACTGGCAGGGAGACTAACTTGATGACTGAATGGACGTCTGGCTGAATGTCTTATAATCTGATCGTCTGGAATTAAGTTAAGCGTCCTGTTGTCACTCGCAGTGTGCTTTGCCATTTCTTGGCTCTGAACCAACTTTCTCCCAGAAAGACTTAACCCTTGGTAATGTCTTATTCTCCCGCTCTATCAGGCGAAGACTCTTCGTAAGCAGATCCAGCAGACCTTTAAGCAGTTTGCTAACCTCAACGATGAGCAGAGCATCCACAAGTTCTTTGAGATACTCTCTCCCATCTATCACTTTGACAAAGAGTGCTTCAAATGTGCTTTGGGGGTAGGGCAACACTCAATTCATAATGACAAAAGGTGTTACGTCTAAAGGTGAAATCCATCCATACATTTTCCATACCTTCAGGAGGTTGAACCTATTCTGCATTTACAGGGTATAAAACATGTGGAGTAGAATGTCGTCTTTAGTTTAAATGGCTTGTCAGAGCCGTACAAGGTGGTTCTAGTAATTGCAGTTTGCACAGTCCTGCTTCATATCACTATATTCTTCTTATTATCACTTATCTTATTATTCTGTCATCTACAGAATGCAGACTTGTTTCTGTCCTAGAAGACGTTTCATATTAAAAGTAGTGAAAACAGATGACATTAAAATTGTTTGTTTTGTTAATATTGCATGTTTCCCAGTACTATGTTTAGTAAATAATGCAGATGATATGATGATATGTGACATCTATTTTAATACTGTATGTGTCTCTCTCTCCAGTCTAGTTGGGTAATATCAGTGGAGTTAGCTATTGGACCAGAAGAAGGAATCAGCTACCTCACAGATAAGGGCTCAATGGTGAGTATGCACTGAGACAACTCATCTCACGAGGTCCAACTTTCACTCAGTGATGGTGTAGCCATTTCAAAATGAGCTTTCTTTAAATGGCATCTGATTATTCCAGCTAACAGATGAACCAGTTCAATATATTTATGGACTTAAAGTGTCTTTCAGCACTACTATACACTGCAGTGGTGTTTAATGCGTACTACTGTATACTGCATGCTTTTAATTTGAAGGCCAGCTGGCAGTCTATCATACCGCCCTCTACTGACTGTCCTCTCCAGTAGGCAGATTGTGTCTTGACTCCACAATGACTCCTAAAATGCCAGCGGTCAGGTCATTTTAGTTAGGAAACAGATGGTATGAGCTAGAGAGAGCCATATGTGTGAAATCAGCAGGTGATGTGATCAGGAGATCTGCACCGCTGCATTTAGGACGTGCTTGCTGCAGTGACGACTCAAAAAGGCAGGAAACAGCTGCACACCTTTTTCTCCAGTGTGTAAATTGAGGTATTCAATTTCAACTTAATGATGACAGACTGTCAAAATGTCTACACTTTATTTAATAAGCCGATAGCGGAGCGTGTCCTGTTTGGCCTTCATGCGCACATTAAAATTCACTACAAATACATGACTAACTGGTACCATGGAAAAAAGAATGTCTCAGCCCTGGGCAAATATTTACACGTACATCTTATGTGCTTTTTAATAATTATGTGTATCTGTCTTTGTCGTTGCAGCCTACACACTTAGCTAACTTTAACCAGGTTCAGTCCATCCAGTACTCTGCTTTGGAAGAGAAGGACAGGAAAGGCATGTTGCAGCTCAACGTAGCTGGAGCTCCAGAGGTGAAAACACACAGACACACCTTGCATGCTATATCCTTAGCTTTTCAACTGTAGGGTGGTTCATTGTGAAACATGACTGCCTGTTGTTTGGATATTGTTTGCAGTAATACCTCATGTTGTATTTTAATTATTTAAGTAGAAATGTATAACAAACATAAAATAGCAACTGCTTGTCAAACAATGTACTTTAAGTTGTAGTAACAACCAATCTGCAGTAAAATACGATACGGGGAAAGAAGGAAACAGCCCATGGGGAGGGTGAAGGCGGGTGTTGCCATCTGCACTTGAGTGTCGACGTGAGTGCGTCTGTCGAGAGTGGGTGTGTGTTCGCAGCAGGCTTTTCTAGTGGAAAAGCATGTGTACATCAGTACTAGAGTATCTGTGTAGGGATGTGTGTGTGTGTGTGGGGAGGACTGAATGTGTGTATATGTGCACTGGTAGAAGACGTTACCCCTAATAAAGCTCTCATTGTGTCACTGTGAAGCAATGCTCTGTCCCACTAATCCTGTGTGTGTGTCTAGCCCCTCACAGTCACCACGGCATTGCTGACTACGGCAGAAAACATGGCTGACTTGATTGACGGCTACTGTCGACTCGTCTCCTCAGCTACTCACTCCTTCATTGTCAGAGTCCACAAAGGTATGACGACTCTTACATTTGTTTTGTGTTCACTATACACCCACATTTAGATATTTTTGGGTCTATTGCAGCATTTCATTGGTTCGGTTGTGTGCAGTTATTATTGTGATCATTTCTATATTGTTTGGATGGTTTGGATGACCTTCTCCTATAAATAGTAGTACTCGAGGTTTGAAATTGCAGTCAGCTTACGCTTGTCACTTTGAATAACCAGCCAATGTTTTAGCTAGTCTTTTCTAAAAATAAATATGGCTACTAAGAAATGGTTACAGTGAGGTAGTTTTATACAAGAGGCCCGTCTGTTCTGTGTCTAATTCATGTGTTCATTTTGCGTCTGCAGAGGGGGACAGAGCTCTGCCGTCCATCCCCAAGTAAGTCAACCGACACATTTGGTCTCATTAGCTGCTCGATCAAGTAAAAACAAGTGTCAGTTTCCTGTGATGCATTAAAGAGGTTCAGTCAAGGTTTGTCGGCGAATTTTTTCCCTTTAACCAGCACAACTTTGTTTTTTGTCTTAAGTGACTGGGCTGGCTTGCGCTGGCAATAGTAGTTATTTCAGTCCTTGAATTGCCCATACTGTGGATATAAGGTGTGGACGTATGTGTTCTTTATATTCTAATGTTCATCATTGAGAAGCTACACACATGACAGGATGTGGGAGGATTCTCCATTCCTCGTGTTGCACTGCTATCTTCACAGCGGCATCTTGGAAGCTTTCGCTTAGATTTTCTCATCTCTCTTCCAGAGTATCAAATCATGAGAGGCGGATGGAAAAACGTATGGAAGGAGTACGGACCCGAGCTGTTTGTGTCTCAGGTATAAACCCGTCTCACTTTCTCTTTTCCTGTTGGTCTGTTTCTCCCCTTTCCCGTCTGTGTGCTGCTTTAAATGTCATGAGTGACAGCGACTGCTAACAGCTGGATAAAGGGTTCATAGATATGTGTTCGTACCCTGTTCCCTCCATAAAGCCTCATCTGTGTGTGCAATGAAGAGTCCTTGTCTCGCCAGATGTCCCCGTGGAGAGCTTTAGTCACTGTCACTCTTCCTGTGTCGTTACTGACCTCTGACTAACTCACAGTTACACAGAATTACATGAAAATAAGCTTGAATATAGTATCAAGTCATTTAATAACATCTGTGACCTTGTTTGTTTTTCTCTTAACAGTCAAACTAATGCTTCTTTTCCTGTGTGTGTGTGTGTGTGTGTGTGTGTGTTTCATGCTGCATGTGGCTTCTGCAGGTCAAACTAGTGGCGATGGTAAACACCATTTTTTCTATTAACGGCCCTAAATTAGTAACTTAATGGAATTCCTGCTCTGTGTCTACATTCAGCGTAGTGTGTGTGTGTGTGTGTGTGTGTGTGTGTGTGTGTGCTGTATCTCTGTATCTGCATGTAATTGTTTCAGCCTTATCCATGACTCAACCTGTTATTCTTCCACTTGTTTCTGTGGAAAGAATGAACGTTTCCATCCCTCCCCTTTCCTATCCTCTGCCTGTCTCTCTCTCTCTCCCTCTCTTTATTGTTCTCGTCTGTCCTACATCACTCGTGTGCAGCTGTTTTATAGTATATGAAAGTTTTAAATTGTTGCGCATGTGTTTGGAATCCGGCATGGTGACGGTCTTTTGGAAAGGTACGTCTGTTTGATGATGGTTTGTTTCTCTTACTGTTGCCATTTTCACTCTTTATTTGTCAGTGAAGGTGATGTTCAAATTGCCGTATTTCCTAAAAATCCAGGTGATGCAAAGCATTTTCATATCGAAAATGGGACTTTTGGTTTGTGTTGTGTCAGATGAATGCTGTCCGGGCGACTCGGCTTGTTGTATCAAAGTGAAGTTTTTTTATTTGAACGTCATTTGTATTTTGTGTGTCACTAACTGAGACTTATTGTTTCTTGTCTCCCCACTTTGCTCTGCAGAAACGGACGACTATGCTGAGATCATAGATGAGGAGGACACCTACACGATGCCTTCAAGTAAGTACAAACACACACACACAACCATTGTAGGCAGCTAATTTGACAACTGGAAGAAGGGACAGATCGTCATTGTGCACGTGTGTGCACGTGTGTGTGTGTGTGTGTGTGTGTATGTGTGTGTGTGTGTGTGTGTGCTCTGGTGATCAGTGGACCTCTTCGGACTTGTGCAGCATACTGCGTGTGCCTACGAGTGCCAGTTCATGTGTGTGCAGGTAGAAAGCTTGTGTGCTTGTTATTATCAATTTAGAATAATTAATTGTCTATCTCAATATATGATTTTGTTGCGATAAATGCTCTGAGTTTCCTCTATTCTTATTAGGTTGGTGGACAAAAGGATGGCAGGAAAGATAATAACATGAATGACTCTACATTTTCCGTGGTTACATGTGGCAATCTCATAAAAGGGGAAACCACTTGAACCACATACTGCCTATCTATTAATAGGTCTGCAGTCTGTGTTTGTTTCAGTGAGTTGTAATCCGCTTCCTCTGATTGCTTTAAGACATCTTGACACAATGTTTACATTACAGTAAACATTTGACAAATGGCTCTATCTACTGCTAATTACTATTATCACAAGGGTTAATTGTGACAATTAACTCCTGTAGATGTAACTGTTCGTCTGAAAACATGAAGAGGGGCTGCTGTGCTGCAGGGTAATGCCTGATCCTCAGGTTTAGGGCTCGTGTTAGACTCACCGCACCGCTAAACGGTAACGCTACACAGACAACATATAGAAGCAGTGGAGATGAGCGACATCACCTGAACGCATGACAGGGAAAGAAGCTGGGATGTTAAGTGACCGATATTTACTGACAAAATTCCCCATCTAACCTGCCTCAAAATGTTTCCCTGTGTATCACGAGCCCAAGTTGTTCCATGCAATTCAATTCCAACGTGCCTTTGCTTTTTTGTTTTTCATAAATAATAGCTTTCACCAAAGTCCTGTGGACAGTTGTAAACACACAAACAGATACAGAGAGAGCAAGTCGAGCAGCAGGTAGAAACTGAACTGCATCACTGTCTCACCTACACCATGGCAATTGTTAAAGACTGCAGTCACAGTTGGAGATCTCTGTACTCACAGCTAGTTATTTCTGTCTCCTATCACTAACTAATTTTCCCAGAATACTATGGACTAGATCAAGGTAATGATCGGAACGTTCCATACGTCTGGTTGTATTGTGATGGCACTTTGATTTGGTGGTTGTTGTGATCTGTATTTTGTGTTTGCTTGCTGAATGTATTTCAGTACGTGCACCCTGTTGATTTGACCCTAACCCTCCGTGGATGTTTGATGTGCTGTCGGTTTTTGGCTGAATTGATCGTAGCTTCAGAGCAGAACCCAAGTTGTTGGACAAGGATCTTGTTGTGAATTTTTTATATTTTAAAGAATTTAAAAAAGGTCAAGTGAACCGTCATCACTTCTATGATTGTGAAGATCCATTTGACTTGCACAAACATTTTATACACCAGGTTTAACCAGGCAAGTTGACTCGGAGCATGTTCCTTTTTACGGCTTTGGCCTGGAGGTGGAAGTGCAGTGAGAGGGAAAGGTTTAAATAGATACATTTTAAACCAGAACCACTAACAAACAGGGTAGTCCCACTCCATTGTTTAACCATGATTATCGACTCCTCTAAGATCAGGTTACATGAGCGACATTTAGAGGCACGGGCACGCAGACATTAATTATGGCCAACTGTACATTTTTGTTACTGTATGTATGTTGCAGCCTCATTTAGTCTCTTTCCCACTGCCGGCATTTTATTGCACAGCATAGTTGTCTCAAAAGGACACTATTATAGTTGTCTCACAATTATACATGCGCTGGACATTTAACACCTGTAAACTGTATGCTTATGTTTGCTGTAATTTATGTGCTGATTACATGGACAAAGTCAGGTCAACAGTGTTGGCAAACCACCAGCCTTTCAACAGCCTGCAGTTTACAGACCGTTTCATTCTTGTTTTCGTAAAACTTAAAATATAACTCAAATTTTTTATTAGCCTCACTTGACAGAAACTACAAAATACGTTTTACTGACTAATAACAGATGCAAATTATTTTTGGACATAATAAATGTACCGCTGGTCCTATATCAGCCTGTGAGCTTTGAATTCCTGTCAATTACGTCTCACTATTATACAATTCACCTGACTTTATCCATAATACATTTCATTTAATGTGAAAAATTCATGTTCATTTAAATTCATATATACGTTGAGTGTTACTGGCTGTTGTTCGTGTGTGTTACATGGCATGTCTGGCTGTGGTTTTGCTGGTGCTGTTGTTGCATGCTGTTGACTTTAAACTATGCTGATTGCTCTAAAACTAAGCTTGTCAGAGTAGGAATGAGGATTATTCATCCTGAAATTCAGGACAATTAAATTTGAAAAGCAACGATGGCACTACATGATATCTGTTTCCAGAGCTGTGTCTCCTTTAAATGGTAACTGTGTCTCATTTCTATGATTTACTGGAAGAACTGTTTCAAAAGTTGATTAATGACTCAATCGCTTTTTTACCTTTTTCAGCCATTAAAGGCATATTTAAACAAACTCTGCACACTGTAACGTACTCTGACAAACTTGGTAAAGGCAAGGGCTGACTATGAAGTGTATGTGTGGGCACTGATGTGAAGGTCTTCTCTGTTTGTGTGTCTGTGTGTTCATGTCTATGTATATTGTGTGTATATAGCACGGGACTATGAGATTCAGCGAGATTGCATCGAGCTGGGACGCTGCATAGGTGAGGGTCAGTTTGGAGACGTCCACCAAGGAGTCTACATCAGCCCGGTATGTACCATAGTCTCTTTCTCTCTCACACAAGCGTTTAATATCTCTGGATTTATGGTAGCTTTATATCTGAATAATCTAATTAAAATAATCCAGTGTAGATGGTCTTTAACAAGCGGCTGAGTGCACATTTTGTTGCATTAAACCATTCACTCGCATGACAATCACGTCTGTAGATGTGTGATGTTTGTGTGTAATTAATTCAGTCAGTTACTCACCTCTTTAGAAGCTAGACCAAAAACAATCCACTGAATTTGAACTCTTATCACAATAACTGCGTCTATACAGTATAGCTGTCACAGAAGAACAAGATGGAATGGGCTTGCCACTCAATAACCCATGCCGCACTTCAGTAGGTGATACACATATTCTCCGTGTTGTTCACTTGGATGTGTTTCTTGCAGGAGAACCCAGCCCTGTCCGTGGCAGTGAAGACGTGTAAGAACTCAACGTCCGACAGCGTCAGGGAAAAGTTTCTCCAAGAAGCACGTAAGTTCAGCAGTTATTCACTTTCAAGAGTTTTGCAGAATAGCCTTTTTAGTACAGAAAAAGCTGTCTGTGAACTGACCCCCACTCATCTTTCCCTGCAGTGACCATGCGTCAGTTTGACCACCCCCACATTGTAAAGCTGATGGGTGTCATCACAGATAACCCAGTCTGGATCATCATGGAGCTCTGCACGCTCGGAGAGGTAGGACACGGATGTACACTATCTGCTCATTTACATGGATGTGTGCATATGTTAAAAAGCTTATTTAAGTAATCGCAATCTGTGTCACTCAATCTACATTCTATTCTTCTCTTCACTTTGTATTAGTGTATTGTTCTGCTCTGTGTTGACTGTAGACAACTGTAGACAGGCTGTTAGTGAACAGCGTCTTCTTGAACCATGAAACACAACAAAATGTGGAAGTGTCAGGACAAAAATCCAAGGGAAAAATAGAGTTTCTTACTACATAATATATTGGTTTGAAAAACGATTTGTTTAACTTGTATATTGTATGCCTGTTTGCATTTCTTTGTGATATCACTTTAGTTAATAAGCACATTTTAGAGGCACATGTGAGCTCTAGATGCACCACATCACATATGTAGGCAGTAGACAAGCAGTCATCTACTGCCTAAATTAGATACACCCACATGCTCTTCGTCATACGTTCTGTTTGTTGACAAGAAGGATTATGTCCCCGTTAATTTCTCTTCACTGTTGCTCTCTTTCTACGCCTCTATCTCAATTTCTCCTTCTCTTTGTCTCACTTAATCTCTGTCTATTTTCTCTACTTTTCCTGATTTCTTTCATCGTTTCTCCTATTTTTCACCAACAAATCGTTGCTCTCTGCCTCTCTTTCACGGCACGTTTGTCTTTGTTTTTCTCTCTCCGTCCTCCATAGTTACGGTCATTTCTCCAGGTGAGGAAGTACAGTCTCGACTTGGCCACTCTCATCCTGTACTCGTACCAGCTCAGCACGGCACTGGCATATCTGGAGAGCAAGCGCTTTGTGCACAGGTATGCAGATTAGGGACTCCCAAACCCCCATTATACCAGAATATAGCCCAGCGTTGCCCCCTACTGGAGGAATTACAATGGCATATCTACATGTCTCATAAAGAATGAGGGATACTAGTTATCATATCATGCTGTTTTCTTCAGAAGCTACATAAGAGTAAACTTCATGGATAAAAAATCTAAGTGTTTAGGATTTCCGCTCAGTTTGGATTTGTCCTCCTCAGGGACATCGCTGCTCGGAACGTGTTGGTGTCTACAGTCGACTGTGTGAAACTTGGGGACTTTGGTTTGTCTCGATACATGGAAGATAGCTCGTATTATAAAGGTACAATTAACACCTCTATACACGCGCACTGTTCCCATAATTGCACCTTTTAACTGTCTTTGGTCTGTCATAACACATGGAAGTAAATCACCATTATTATTCACTGGACTGACATGAACTGAGCTGATCATTCGAGTGTAACACAGCTCTCCGGATTTCTGCTTTTCAGCATCTAAAGGTAAACTGCCTATTAAATGGATGGCTCCAGAATCCATCAACTTCAGGCGATTTACCACAGCCAGTGACGTCTGGATGTTTGGTGAGTTTAAGTCTTCGTTTTTTCTTCCTTTCTTCATTTCTGTGACAGCAATGTCCCGATGCTTTGAGGTTTTCAGTTTTACTCTTTGCTTTTTGCCTTTTGCAGCATTTAAGAGCCAACAGGTGGCTGTCTCAGTCTCGTAGTCAGTGAGTTTTTCTGTATTTCTGTCTTTCCATAGGCGTCTGCATGTGGGAGATCCTAATGTTCGGTATCAAGCCTTTCCAGGGTGTGAAGAACAACGACGTCATCGGCAGGATAGAGAACGGCGAGCGACTGGCGATGCCCCCTCAGTGCCCTCCTACTCTCTACAGCTTGATGACAAAGTGTTGGTCGTATGATCCCAGCAAGAGGCCGCGCTTCACTGAACTCAAAACACAGCTGAGGTATTTAACGGAGTGTCGATTGAGAGTCTTTGCGTGTCTCTGTAAGTGTGAGCTTTCTGGGGTTCAGCGTCTTGCTCAAGGTCACAAACCACCAATGCTCTTATCTCGAGTGTGATGTGAGAATGTTAAATTATCATTATTATCTGTACATGCTCAAGAAGCAGAATATATATGTTTCAAGTGCACCAGGCATTGTTTGTCCCGCATAGTAAGCTTTGGGTGTTGAGAGAAAGAAGCACCAAAGAATGATGTCTTTTGGAAAAAAAGATCCATTGGCACACTTTGTACTTTCCGTTTATTAAATTTGCATTGACAAAGTGCAGCCTCCCCCAGTAACACAGCCTATCTTGATTTCTGCATAACGATAGTACTAGTTTCAGTTAAAAGTGAAGCTGTGACATTCAATCAATCAATGTGAATCCCACTGCATGTTAGTCTTTTCCCAGTCGCAGTCAAGATAAAGGAATGTGCCACAGTAAATGATATCTTTCAGATTGTATGTTTCCCTGCGCCTTCCAAACAGCAGGTGTCACTGTCTGTACTAGTAATCCAACAAGATGAATGGAGCATACAGTATATATTATACATTTAAAATCAAGCAACATATTGCTTTGTCTATTGCTTCTGGTCATACATCAGACCAGAATGAACCATTAGAAATGGATGGACACATTGACATGTCTTCTTATTTTCAATGAGACGGCAGACTGGATCATTTGAATGTCTCCGCAGGGAGGTATTTTAGTCTGCTCTGAATTAATCCAGTTTTGAATACTACATTGATCTTTAATCATCTTTAATAGCGGATGTGGACGCAGTGGGAAGTCATTACTTGTGTATGTGTGGTGAAGGGATACGTGCCGTAGATGTTGTATTGTTGTCACTCCCAACTGAATTCTATGGATAAAGAGGTATATACAAAGATTTAACACATTTTATGAATATCCCAAACATGCTGATTATTGACAGCAGCTATTATTATTATTAAGTATTACATTTTGACCATACCTTCTGTGCAGCCGTGTCATGTACAGCGCAGCCTTCCTTGAACTATTTGGGCTGAGTTTTTCTTTGATTTGCTCGATTCCATTCGATTGTAAATCGCTTTCACCTTTAATGGTGTTTGCCGTTGTTCACATCCATACTGGACGGAGAATATAGGATCCCTAGTACATTTCTACACTCGTTTGATCATAAACACAGTTTCTACATGGTTCAACTCTCTCAAAATAAACCTGAAAGCCAACACTTTAATATTCTAGTGATTGTTTCTTTTCAAATGGAGTGCAGAGCCAAAACAAAACTGTCCAAATAATGGACGCAGACTGCACTTTACCTCCTGTTTGAGCACAGTTAGCCTGGTAACACAGACGTGATGATGACAGACATACTGTAGATTAAATGAGATATCTCGGTCGCGCCTTGCCTCCTTGTTAAATGATACATCACTGCCTTGTTCCTAGCTTTGTCAGGAGAGACATCTTATCCATCAAGAGATACTGTCCTGCATGTTGTGATCCGAAAAGACCGAGTAAGACGACACTGTACACAATTCAAACACTGTTGCGTAAGTTATAGTCACTGATATTCCCCTTTAGACAGGAAGGGTCGGACCTAGTATCCGTGAGTCATATTATGTCATACTTATAATTGGGCAAGACAAGCTTATCAGTTGTGAAATACTTTATCAAATGTAATGAAATGAGAGTTGCACTCGCAAGATAATAATTATCTTAATTTAAAAACCAAAAACATTGGGGCCAGGGCGTCAGTCATCATCAGGGGCCAAGGGAAAGAACTCGACACATCTGGCATGTTTGATGATTTGTGCCAAGCAGTGTGTGCTTACAGTATGTGATTATAATTGAGTAAGCACTATTTCTTTTCAATTTATTTTCCTGACATTAGCGATAAATAGGGGTACAGTAGGAGTAGGGCTTTTCCCAGCAACCACGACTCAACAATTCATAATCATTCAGACATGAACAAACCTGCAGTTTTTCGGCTGATGGAGAGATGGACCGTAATAGCGGGAGTGCCGGTGGTAATGAAATAACTTGAGTTTGAGTTTCAGAAGGCTGCTGTAAAAGTATGCGTTTCACTTTCATTGAAGTACCTTCTTACTCTTAAGTCTTAAGGTCCTCAGTTCAGACTTGTACACGACCCTCTCTTTCTCTTTTTGTTCTTTTCAATTATGAGTTTTTTTTATTGTTTACCTTTAGAGATATCTAAAATGGCAGTCCAGTGTGTTTTTATGTATGTAGATATTTACAATAAATATATTTATAAATAAGTTTAAATAATTATATAAATGATAATGTATCCAATGATCCTGCCATGGTGCGCTGTAGGTTTAGCTTTAACTCAATACATCAGATTTATTTGCTTCCTTGATCTGTTAGAATTTAGACTCTTTTATTTCTTAAACATGACGATCGTATTCCAGATGTTAGCTTCATTATATTTACACAGAAAGCAGTTTCCCTTTTTAAATTTCAACAAAATAACTGCAGATTCATGCATGTTCACCCCTTTATCATTATTATCTACTTCTGTATATCATACACACATAAGACATTTTAATGTAGTTTGAGCTGCTCATTTAAATGTACAGTGTTTATATGATGATATCATTTAGTCCAGACGTACGTTCACTGCATGCGAGTAAGTGCAGTCAAAAGATTACCTGCAGGATACAATAAAGAGTTGAAATGAGAGAATATTTCCACAGTTATGTTTTCTTATCACTCAAAACTGAATTTGCATGTAGAAAAGTAGATGTAATATACCTCATTAGTGTTCATATTGTTAATGTTGAGCCTTAAAACATTTTACACAAGATCAACACAAGCAGCACAGCGAGATGCCATCATTGTTTTCTGCAACATGCACATTCTCTCTCTCTCCGTCTTGTTCTCTCTCTCTCACACACACAGAAACAGGAAAGTAAGAGAGCATATTTACCTCCTGTGGTTTAATGAGTTTGTTTAAAACCAGCATGACTCACACCTTAAATTCCACCTTGATTACACTTCCAATGTTCTCAATGTCAGCTTTCTGCTTTCCCCCTCAATTCTCCTCCTCATGCACTTTCTTTGCCTCCTTTTCAAACTTCTGTTTGTTAGTCTGACACATGTACAGTATGTGTTTGGTTGTATGTTTTAATGGGCTGAAAACTAAGTGTGGAAAAGTACATATGAACTGCATTTGAGTGCTAATCCGAGAAAATCAAGAGCATTTATTTTAATTGACTGTGATATTTTGGCAAAAAGAAATGGCGAGGAACCCTTAATGTGCCTCATCCAATGTCTTGGAAACCAAGTCAATATTGACTACGTTACCTGTGGTCACTGGCTACTATTAGGGGAAAGTCATGCCATTTAAGGTTATACAATTTGGTCTACTTTCGGTCTGGACGGCTTTTATAGCATAATATCAATTATAGGTCTCTCCTGCCAAATATGCAGCTCTCATCTACTACTACAGTTTTCCTAGACGTTGGACCAATATAAGAGTGTGTGTGTGTGTGTGTGTGTGTGTGTGTGTGTGTGTTTACACAGTGGGCAGCTGCCAGGAGCTATAGCTTTCCAAAGAACAGAAGAACAGAGAGAGGGAGAGAAAATAGACAGAGAGAATTAAAGAGGGAGGGGAAAAAGGCAAGCAGAACTTCCGCAGTGCTGTACTCTCCTGGTCAAAGCTAGCGGATCAAGACTCCTAATTCTCAGATCTTATTATCCTGACAGTGAGGTCTCTGTGTGAGGAGCCGGTAGCCTGTAGCCTCCTGGGGTTCAGCTACAACGGGGCATATTTGAGTCATCCTGCCAGGAGTAGTTCATTTCATCCTTCCAGCGTTGCTGGAATCTTTTGTGGTTATTTATATTGAGATTCAGTAGTGTGTAAGCGCTTAGTGCCACTGGCCCATCATCATTGTAGTGGCTGCATCATTCTCCTAAAAGGGCTTGACTGGATATACTCCGGTGCTATTGGATTGACCTGTTCTTAAGGTACAGTATTGTCTCTATGTCTCATCAGGCTTTTCAAATTTTGTCAGCCTATAATAGAATGAATACTTCATTTTACTTTTGAACAATGTGTGCTGCATTCAGTGGCTGCTACTCTACCTTTGGGTTCAATCCTAAGCTGTTTTCGAGGAGCCATTTGTGTACGTCTCTGAAACACAACACTAGTCGGTTGTTTGACTGTCCTCCAATGATCCTCTTGATCTCTTTTAATGTCTTCCAGTGTGTCTTAAAACAATATTAATATAATGTATGTACTGTACATTGAAAAAGTTATTGGAAGCTATAATTGTTCGTCCTCTCCTGCAAAGAGATCTCTTCGTAAAGTCAATGCACTTGAATCCAGATGTCTAAATCTTTTCTGCTCAGTCTCAGTCAGCAGTTGTACTGGGCAGGTCTCAGGTGAGAAGTACGTGAAAGTAAAGCAGGGCAGTGCTGAGAAGTCCAAGATTGTGCAGTTAGCCCAGCCTGAGTAAATAATCTAAACAGGCCTTGTTATTCCAGGTGGCGGTGTGGTGTAGGTGGGGGAGGAGACAGTCAGCGTTTATGTTGCCAGGTGCTGATGTTGTTGTCGTCACACATATCCGTGCATGATGTCATTTACTGTCAAACTGTGAGGCAAGGCTGGCAGATTTACTCATGCCTGGGTAATGACTTGGCTTCTTGAATAGACATTCAATAAAAAGGCCCTAGAGTTACAAAGCACCTTTGCTTTTAAACACACTCCTCTGGTAGAAAACAAATGACAAGCAGTTGGAGGCCGTTCTGTTGTTTTGATGCAAACCATTGTGTGTTTTAATGTTGTTTCCTGTAGGCTTTTAGAAGGTTGTGAGCTCAGTGAGACTACACGTTGAAAGGATTACATTTAACTGCGATTTAAATATACAAAAAAAGTCAAAAGGTTGAGAAATACCAATTAAAAATGTATGTAAATTCTTAAACCAAACTAATTAATTAATTAATTCAATACATACTATTTTTAATTAGTAATTCATGTTGTTAATAATTCAATGTATTTAAAGAAGGCGTGTGCTAGACACAAGGAGACAGGAGACTGACTTTGACAGGTGCAAGGACACATTCACCTACACACACACACTCTCACACACACACACACACCCTGCAGGAAACAACAGAACAGGAGGGTAACGATGTTACTAGAAATAGCTCTTACTCGTGTTGGGGAAAGGAGAGTAGAAGGAGTGTGTGTGACTGTGCGACGCATATCGGATTATTCAACCAGTCAGTTCTCTGTTTAGTGGAACCATCAGCTCTTCAGCAGCAGCTCCTTCCTCTGGGAATCTGGATTTGGGTTAGCAGCAGTTTTCCCAGGGAACAGGTCAGTAAGGATAATTTTAGCGAGTGAATTCAGTGTGGTATCTTTGGCTGCATTAGACCTAAAAAATGTTGGGTTTGGGGCGTGGGACGTTTGCCTCCAAGTGATTTAATCTTAAGCAATATCACTCAGAAATGTACTGCTTTAGTTGCTGTTTACAGCTTTGCCTGACACAGCATACAGACGGTATCAGTAGATGTTATGCAGTGAATGAGTTCTCTACCTCATTGTATTTCCGAGTTTAAATAAAGGTTGAATGAATAAACGGTGATGGTTGAAATATGTCACATTACAACTCGGCCATGCCTGCGCTATGGCAGCGTAGATACGGGGAGATTCATATGACGCTGGCTTCAATTGTTTTTATTATTGTGTCACGTTTACTGAATATTATTGGCAGTAACTAAACTGCAATGGTAGTAAGATACTGAGCAATAAGACATTTCATAATAAAAAGGAATTTGTTTTTCTTCAGACTTTAGCCAGCTCTGTACAAACGGTGGGAGGAATGCTCTGTGTGTCTGAGTTTGTGTGGGTATTACAGCTGACAGTCACAGCATTTTAGTTGTCTGTTGAGGAAACCCCTGTGATGTGTGTTCGTATACGTAGGAGCATTTGTTTGTATGTCTTGAGAACGGATGTTCTGTACAAAAAGTCGTCTTCACTTGCTGAGGAGCTTGAGGCCACAATATCTACTTAAATGAAGTGACATTTCAGTAGAAATGAATAAAGATACCAGTGACTTGTGTGTGTTTTTTCCCAGCACTATATTAGAGGAGGAGAAGCTCCAGCAGAAGGAAAGGAGCAGGATGGAGATGAGGAGACAGGTCACTGTTTCATGGGACTCTGGAGGGTCTGATGACGCACCACCAAAGGTAAGGCACCACTACACCCTATGTGTCTGTGTCTCTGTCTGCCTGTTTGTATGAGTGCAACAGGTGTAGTAATAAAGAGTTTGAGTATCTGTTGTGTTTGTACTACAACGCTCTGATCATTGCAAGTCCCAATGCGCTCTTTAGTTGGCTCTTCTGAAATGCTTTCATGTGGAGTCAGTGACGTTTTTCACACATGATTTTAAGCGACCACCATTAATGTCAAGACATTGAAATGATTCAACTGGTAACTTATTTGATTTAATGTTTCCTCTTTTTGTACCAGTCTGAAGATACAAGGTTTCTGCTGGACACTGGTGACATAACAATATTGCTACGTCAGTTGTCAAGTGAGGTTTTCTCCCCGTGATGATGAAGGTTTAAGAACATGAAATGTCAATGGGTTGCAGCTTTTGACTCCAGGCTTTAAATAAAGAGTGTCGGGTGCAGGAAGCTAAGTCCCATATTAAGGTGCAAATGTAGGACCATCGACTCTGTGACCTTTTTACACTTTTGCAGAAAATTAATTTTTTGCATCTGAAAATGAGTCTGAGTGTGCAGGCATGTCTTCTTATGATAGCTCAGTATGATGATCACCCTGCAGTGGACAGGTTAAGGTTGATGTTAGTCTAGTAGATTGGAACAAACGAGAGTTGCTGGGTTTGTGTGCGCCCTTAACCACATTTGGGGGTTTTTTTTTTCTCACAAGTTTGCAAATATGACATTACTTGTTAAAGGTTATTAAAGTCCATAACCTCCACCTCCACTAGTGCCATCCCACCTCACAGCTTGTTGCCCCAGCTGCTGGCTGCTTCGCCCTCCCTCACTGGCCCCCCCCATGCCCCTGCTGTTAGCATCTGCTAACTGCTTCTTTTGGTTGCAACTAAAGCCGTATGTCTTGAACCGTATACTTCATAAGATTGAGAGGTTTGTTATTTTAAGCCGTCAGTGATGCGGTTAACCTATTCCTCATTTAAATCTGGTTGCAGCTATTAGTGATTGCTGCATTTGTTTTATTTCATTGACAACTAAATTAATTTAAATGTCTTGCTGGGAGGTAAAAGTGTTTTCACTACATTTGATGCTCTTCAGAGGCACGGTGGCTCTATGGCTATGGTTACAGTCTGTGCTTCGACTCATCCCCATCGGTCTCACCTATCTACTACATATCTATATCCTCCAGAATACCTTTTATTATTTCCGTTTGTCCGTCCTCTGCCTTTGTCTTTCTGTTTGCAGCCCAGCCGTTGTCCCTCCCTGCAGCCCACATTCAGTCTGGATTGTCTGTCTGCTCCTTCGCCTCGCCAACATTGCCATCAAAATGAGCGCTTTGCCTCACAGCTTTCCCTCTGCTTTGGAAACCCTCATCCTTTGTCTCCCTTCACCTCTTCTCACCAACCCACTCCTCCACTCTACACATCATCTCTGCAATTTCCCCATCACTTTTCCTCTCCTCCCCATCCTCAGCCTCAATCGCCTCCTCTTCAAAGTATCCCTTTCTACAATAGCTCTTTCTCTCAGTACAGCACTAAGTTCAAATCTCAATCCAAAGCCTGCTTGTCCCTACAGTCAGAGACTAACTTCTACCAGCCACCTCACAGCAGTTCAGAGAGCCTGTCCAATGGCAGCTGCCCCCACAAGACAAATCCCCCTACTAACGGCCACCTGCTCTGCTCATCCCAGCTAAAGTCAAACAACTCACACTCCTATCCCTGGCACCCACTCCTTTACCAGTCTAGTCCTAACCTTAACTCTCTGCCCCACAGATTGACACAAATGTGTCCCCACACCCTCCAAATCATCCAGCCCAAGTCAAACTCTAATCCTAAAACTCTGCTGTTGCGCAGTTTTCACAGTAGCTGCCAAACTAATCCCAGTACCCCAGTACAACCTGACGCAGACCCCCAGCACCAGCACCCTGCTGTGCAGTCATGCGGGAGGCCCCCGCTGGTCTCTCCAGCCCCCCTCTCACTACCCTCTGCCTGCACCCTGTCCTCCACTCACCACCATCCACTCGGTGGAATGCCAAGCCTCCCTGTAACCACCAGTACACCTTTTCTCGTCTCTTGCTCGGAAAGACACGCGTGTAGACCCTTGAAGGCAGGTGGTGTACGGTTAAACTGCACTTAAGCTGTGTTTAAATAACTTCAACTTGTTGGTCTTTATCAAAAAAAGTTGCAACATTCAGGATTATGACACCTTTGATAAAGGTCCACGGTCAGTTTTAAATATTCATAACTCAATAAGCAATAATTAAAGTACAGAATAAAATGTTATCTGTTTCATTAGGACTGTGTGGCTGTGGTTTGGTGACATTTAGTTGATAGTTGCCTGGCAACACAAGCAAACAACACAACAATTGTCATCATATCTTGATTAAGTTCGGCGCACTTTGAACCAGTTATATAAACACAGACAGTACAGAGCTTATTTCACTGAAATTACCAAAACTTTTCCAACTTTAGGAAGAAACCTGTCCGTTCATCTCTGGCCCCTTTGCTCATAATAATAATAATAACGCCATTGAGCAAATTATGTTTTCAGGGTCCTTTTAAAGTTTTACTTCCTTTGATTAATACTCAGCACTCATTAGACATGTGGTCGGTCACTATCCCTCTTCTTTCTGTACGTCCACCACATGACAAACTAGGTTAAAGAAGCCCTGTGTCAGCTTCGCAGTTTGACAAATGTTGCAACATTTTTTTGATGAATGGATTCACAAACTCAATCCAATCTTTATGTCATGACTTAACTGAGTGCAGTGATTTTTAAAACGATGCTTGCCAACACCAGTGACTGTAAATGAGCATGTTTGTTATTGGCATGCTTCCTTTATGTCGTACATGCGGTTGAATGTCCTCTGTTGTGATTGAATATTTTTGTTTGCCTCAGGCATTGTGTTGATGTGTCTTCGGATTATTGCACCCTATTTCTAGCCTGCTCAGGATGCCGTTTATAAATCCCAAATCCATTGGCTGACATTCAAACCCATCTACCACACATGGCCTTAGATATAGTTTATCAAGCATAAGCAAGAAAGCAAATATTCAAAAAACAATCTAGTCGTCTGCTTTTAAATGTCACTGGATTTAAAATGAATTTCAGATGTTGGAACCCAAAGTTCAGAACTAATGCTGTTATGTAATGCAACAACTTTTCCACTCCCCAGGTCCGGGACTCAGCCAAGTTCAAGAGGAAAGAACTTCAACTCTAACATATAGTGTAATTCAATATAACGCTGTTGGTCTGCATTCTGTACCGAACTCAGTCACATTGAATTATTTATCGGTATTCTACTAAAGCTTCCTAGGATTGAGACCGTAGCTATCGATACATAAAGAGCTAGCTAAAAGGCCCGTCTCTGCTGAATCCTGTTTATACAGAGCTGGCCTTCTGTCACCTTGACCTAGTGCTGGCCAGTAGTGTTACCCACCAGCTGGTTTTGGTACGTGACCCTGTTTTTATAATGAGCGTTTTGTCCTCCCGCTGAGCTTTAACATCACCCCACCTCCTACATGTAGGCTTCTGCTAAGAATTATGACTTTCAACGCTGGGAACCTGTTCAAAACAGTAGTTGTTCACTTAAAAATGCATGCTTTAATGGTAAAAAATACTTTTTATACCAGTTAGAAATCACTTATGGAAACATGACAGAAAAAGCCGCATAAAACAAGACTTCCCTTCCCTTCTGTTTGGCCCTCAGCTGGACGACGTGTCAAGAGTTAGATCTTTACAGCAGCCAGAATAGATTCCTGTTGGAAGCCTTTTTCGACTGCACTGTGACCTGTTTTGGTGATAGATGAGTCTGTGTGGGAGTCGATGGATTCTGCCTCAGAGTGAAAACTAAATCTTAATTACGCTGTGCCACTCAACATACCTAAAATTCTTCCTCACAGACGTTAGTCTCACAACAAGTTTATTTTAAGAGCTACAGTGTGTCCAAAATGTACTGCCCTAGAATGGTTGCATTCTTTTAAATTGCACAATCTGCTTAAAGATAAGGAACGATAAACGTCAAATAGATAAGATGGTTTTTTTTTGTCAAGCTCTCTGTTTCCAAAATTGCTTCTCTTACTACCCAAAAGACACTTTGCATGCTTTTCTTCTATCTCGCAACATTTACTTGACCCAACGTAACCGTGCTGGTCTAAAGTAGTTCATTTTGCCTACATACCGGTGGCTGGAGATTTCTGTGTCACTAACACAGCCATACGTTTGTATCAGATGAGAAGCAGCTCATGAAAGGAGGTTGTGGCAAACAATTTTTTATTTTTTTTTTAAACAGCTTTCATATTCTCCCCAAACGGAGCTGTGAAAAAGCAGAAACGGTTGTAATGCTTGTTGCCTGCAGCAGGTGGCACTAGTGTCAACATTGCATCGCTTATTCTCCTTGCCAGTAGATGGCGCACATTGATGACGCATCTATTGGTGTAAACTGCTTCTGCTGTTACTTGTTTTGCCAATAAGTGGCGAGCTGGCACTGCAGTATGTATATGATCATTCATCCAAAAGTCTCCAGATAGTAACCAAGTTCTATCTTACTCTGCTTTGACCATCCTGTCTCATTAACGCCACCTTCCAGTCTGTCTGTCTGTTGTGATTATCTTTCCATTTTTAAAATGGGTATTCCCCGGGAAACCTCCCTCTACATGGATTGGCTACCACAGGGCTGCAGATTTAAACTTCCAAGATATCGTTTGTTGTTCTTGTTAAAGGAACCCCGTGTCCTTCCATGTGTGAGCATGTTTACAACATGCTGTACGTTTCCCTCGCTATCTACCGGTCTGAGAGCTTTTAAGGCTCCTGTTTGTCTCGTCCTCAGTTTCTTTGTCTTGTCTGCTTCTCTTTGTCCTCCCTTCCTACTGTTTTTCCTTTTCTCTTTCCTTGTCTCCCTACCTCCCCGTCTTTCTTTGCTGTCTGTTTCCTTCTCTGTGTGTCTGTCTTGCTGTCGGAGGTGTGGTCCAGAGAAAGCTACTATGAGAGACTGTGGAAGGTAGAGGTTACAACACTGTTGTGTTAGAAATGAGCTCTGTGTTAGAGAGATTTAAATCATGAAGACAAATGTCTCCAGTCATTCTAAGAGGGGAAACTGTTTCAACTTTCAACCGCTTCATCTCAACAAATCACAAGAGAAGAAACAAGGATGTGGGTTCACCAAGCACTTCTGTTTTTAGCTACTAGTGCCCAGCAAAGGAAAATAAAAGAATAGAGATGAGGAGCAAACTCACTCTCCTCGACTAATTTATGTTCCTTTAGCCAGCAGCAGAAGCTCAGATTTAAAAGTCTCTGTTTCTCTTTCTTTTTCAGATGTTTTCAACAACAATACTTCCTTTTTTCCAAATTAGAAAAAAAAAAACAGTGCTTGAAAGAGAGGTCTTTGGTGAACGCGCAACCATAACACTCTATTAACACACCTGCATCACATCTAACCAGAGGTCCCAGTAGTCCAGCAATATAACATAGTTTATACAGGGAATCCATGGATCTCGCCAGTTTAACTAACAGCTTGCTGGACTTGCAGCCCAGTGGGTGTTTCCTGCTTTGAATGACAGCTAACCCAGCCACACAAACAGCTGCGAGGGGTTTGTGTGTTGATTGTCTGAATGACCCGGTGTCCCGTCTTCTAACGTTCAATTTGTGGGGGGGGATGAACAAACGTTTTTCTATTTCTCAACGTCTGTCCTCCTCTCTCTGTCTGTCTGCAGCCTAGTAGACCAGGCTATCCCAGTCCTCGCTCGAGTGAAGGTTTTTATCCCAGTCCCCAACATCCTGGACACTACCAGGTACGTAGACACGCTCCACTCACTGCTCTTTTGCTGCTGATGTGCTTGGTATATAGTTCAAATATGTCTTTTTATTAGACTAACAGCGTGTCTTTTTCCCTGTCCTGTCCTTCCTCCCTGCATCAGATGGCAGGGTACCCCGGCCCTCACACGCTCCCCTCGGTGCCCAGCGCCCTGTACCCCCCACAGGCTGCGATGCTGGACACGCACCACGCGCACACACACCCCCGCCACCACGTCCACACACACTCGCACGCACAGCACCTTCCCCATCCACATGGGCACGACATGGCACTATGGGGCTCTGCGATGGAGGTAGGAGACCAACTTCTAACTCAAACACACACAAGTATTCACACACAGGTGTGCTGTGTTGTACACCGCAGGTTACTCTTCTAGCTCGCAACCATTCACACTCAGTCACTCACAGTTGTTCAAAATAAAAAAAATAAAAAGTCTGTTTTTTGGTGGTTGAATATTATTGAGATCTTTTTTACTTTTTGTCGGTTGGGGCTACAGGCAAAATCTACCCACCTTCTGTCCATCTTTGTGGACGTATTGTGAATGAAAAAGTACCACCTGCATAACAAGTCCAGTCCACACATTTACACAATAATCCTGATTATTAAATGGTACAACTCAAAGCTCCGTTGACACCCATTATCATCAGTGTGTGTGTCCATCATCTCAGTTCAGCCTCTCATCAGTCTGGTGTGTGTGTGTGTGTGTGTGTTTCTCTTCATCTGTGGCTGTGCGTGTGTCCTTGTGTTGGTGCGCATGTCTGTTGCAATGCTTGTCTTTTGTTGCATGCTTGTACTTGTGTGTGTGTGTGTGTGTGTGTGTGTGTGTGTGTGTGTGTGTGTGTGT